TAAAACGGCACTTTTACACGTCAAATTATATGTGAAAAGCTAGATGAGGCCTTTGTTTGGAATATAACTTAAAGCAAAAACCTACGGACATTTTACGTAAAAGTTTTGTATAGTTATATGTAGATTAAAAATAAGTATATTTTTGTCATATACATATTTGGTTGGGAACAAATAATGTGTCTACCAACATAAAAATATTTTCAAATGTAATAAAATGATGTGATACACACAGAAGTGGATTGTCAGTCTCGCAAAACTATGGCAAAGCAATATTAGTTGTACTTACATTTACGAATATCTGCTTTGCAAGGGTCGAGCGCTGCAGCAAAGTAAAATAAAACAACATCTTGTTACATATACACTGCACTACCTGATACAAATAGCGTTGTGACACGTTATAATGTATGTATGTACATATTTTATAACTCATTGTTGTTGTATAAGCCCATTTGGTAGAGAATAGTGATCTAAATAAAGGTAATACCAGAAGTATACACAGACAGATATTTCTCACGATAATAAATATTTTACTTTAAATGTAAAACTGTGGGAGCTTTCAAAGCGAATCCAACTGAGGGAAACGTTAAAAGTTGGTCTTGAAGCAAAGTTGGTACGAATCTGAGGCAGCACTACCAACCCGGGAAGTAGGTCCCGCGGCAGGCGGCAGTAAATCTCTCCGCACGCAAACTGAGTTACACTCCTATACTCGCAGCAGTCGTGGCGAGTACGAGACGTTACGCGTATTTACGAGCGGTTGTCGGCGAACCAGCGATTAGGAACAGGTAATTATACGTTACACGAACTTCATGGGAGATTTACAGTGATTGCACAATATTTACCTACCATTGTCGACCTGACTGTGCAGGCGCTCTCCGCTTTACAAGAAAATACAAGTATTCTTTAGTTACCTACTCTTACCTTCACTTAAAATTTTAACTTTTTTAAATTGATAGCACAGGGATGTGCTTTTGAAGATATCTAAATGGATGTAAACGATGCAACGTTGATGAAGGTAATGAAAGTGTACGGCTTACTTCGTTCCACTTAAAATTCGTAACTACATTAAAACTTGAATCTTGATGAAAGATAAGCCGCCCTTATTCTCGGCTTGGCAAAACTTTACATTAATTTAAAAGCTCACGAGATTTTGAATTGAGGACATATCGGTACCGGCGAGTTCGAGGAACAGTCGGGGCTCGAGGACCAGAGCGAGGTAACATAATATATCGCGGAGGGCCGGAGCGGGCGCGCGTGACGGGCCGGCCCGCGCCCTGACCTCGCACCCACCGCCGCCGACATCCACTGCACATTTGGCATTGCATTGCATTTTTATTAGGTACTTATATACAACGTGCTACTATATGAAAATTCGGATTTTTTCAGGATTCACACTTATACACACAGTGCTTATTGCTAGAATTATTCTTTGTATTTTCATTGTATATCATTCCGATAATTTGACCAATAACTTTTTAAGTTCTTGTGCCTCGCGCCAACCTATGCCTCGCTTGATTGTATTTTATCATTTTTTTACAATATTTTCTGTGTGTGGCCTACAAACTATAACATATTATAAAAAAATGTAAATGAACTCGCTACACACTATATAATCCTAGCTGCATCGCTGAGCGCGTGTCCCGCCTGCTTACTGCAACCGCTATTTTTATGCACCGAGCGACGGAGGACGGAAACACTTTGATGCACCGTCACCAACGTTTATTGATCTCTTCCGCTTGGAAATGGTTCGCTGTATCAGTTTTATCTTTATGTCATATAATATGGCCGCGGCGGTGACGCCGGGACGACAATTAATGGCTCCACTCTTTTAATTAATCGGATGCGTTTTATTGCCAGTGTATCACTTTAACCACTCACTAATGAAATTGGTAATATTCAAAGATTGATGTTGAAAGTCACCACTTTAAAATTGTTCTGAATGAATGTGGTAAGAGTTCAGCCTTGTCGCAGCTTCTGAACTTGAGGGCAATGAACAATATGCACACGTATGCAAGCAACAGGTTTCATGGATTTTTACTAAAAAACAACTTCTTCAATAACTGAAATAGTTTATTCAATTTGATAACAATAAATTGTAAAAGACACCATTAAAATTTTTCTTTAATGTATGTCTTATAAATAACTAAATAACTACCTATGATTTAATATTTCTATAAGTAATTTTATGTACCTAGATATGCGCCTGAATACCAAAAAATATACTATTTCATTTCAATTCTCATTATTTTGAAGGAACCCCATATTAGGAGTAAAGCTAACCTTATTTAAGAATACTTGTAAACATTGGCCCTCTATCCCTCCTCTCCTCTCACATCCGGCCACACACCGGCGCGGGGTGTTTGTTTACACAGACCACGTGTCTGCTCATCCTCCCCGATACACTGTGTACTCGCAGCCATTTCTGTTTTACTAAGAAACCATATAAATTCTAATTGTGGAGTCAATAGTTCCTGCTCAAGCGAATACAATGTGTACATTAGCTTAATGACAAGAAGTGTAAATAGTTATGCAAGTCTTCATGTAAAACCTAATCAGTATAGGGTATCAGTTACAATATTTGATAACTCACCCTATACAGAGAACTAATAATACCAGGAATTCGAGACGTGCTTATGTATCTGCTCACAAAGTGAGTGTTATAGAGCAAACCGCTGCAATCCTATTACATGTTGCTGTCACACGATGGCTATAAGTCCCGCACTAACTGAACATAATAAGATCCAATAATTCATTGAAAGGAAGCTTTTACTATACTTACCTATATGTATAGATTAATTCATTTATGAACTATTATTACTCTTTCAAAGTGAACATAGGTACAAAAGCTGGCCAAAAACATAGTCTTTGTCAAATAGCATAGTAAAAAATAAAGCTATTTTATGTCGAGTACACAATACATTGATTTACCTCGTAACGAGTGCGGCTCAGTTTTCAATACATTTCGGTTTAATATTATTCACGTAGGTTGTGCCAGTGTGCCAGTACAACGGCTCTGTGAATAGGCTCTAAACTAGAATTTCAAATGTATGAAAAATCCAATACAACGCCGCGACCCGTGTCAAATGTCTAATAGAAAAGTCGACGCAGTCTTTTTGTTTCTCTACTGCCTACAAACAAACACGAGTACAAGTACAGGCATTGAATAGTATACTATATTTACTAGGTCAAGTGATTTTTTACGAATCAAATTAAAATAAAAAAAATGGAACACAAATTGGAAAAATATTCGCGTGGTGCTAACTAATACTAACTAAACCGCTATAACAAAATCTTTAATATTATATTATTTCAGTAACCTGTCCTGCGGTTTGATTGCGAACATTTGTATGCAATGTGCCGGTGTGTAAGACAGACGGCGCCATGGCGCAAGTGGAGTCTCACCGGAGCTATTATTCAATTTGTACGGCCCCGGCTCCGGCTCCGGCTCCCGGCGGCCGACATCTGTCCCGCGTACGATTTATAATTAATACCGGATACCGAGCAATCACCGACAATTACATTCTTCCCAAACAATTTATTGTCTTCCATTTACCCTTTGACTTGATTACGGAATTTAGTTTCAAATTATGCTCCCTGCAGATAACTTACGCTGGATTAATTCCATTCAGTACAAAATATTTTCTTATATAATAAAAGTTGGAAAAAAAAACAGATACTACACTTTGATCTTAGTCAAAATGCCGAGAAGCGATATAATAAAAGTTAGTATTTATGCCAAATATGTTTAATTAAAAACTAATTTTATGGGTACAAGTGACTATGGCAGGCGCGATCGTTCCCAGAATTGGTCGGAATTTCGTCGCGTTATCATGTTACGTCGAATTTAACGGTTAATTAACTGATATTGTTTTACAAGAGAGGCAGTAATACTGTTCCTGCTGACTGAGTAGTAGTTATTTATCTGTTTATTAATTTAAGGATCGTAAGTTTTTCATAACTAAGTATTGTGTATGTGAATTTATTATATGTTTGTAAACGACACAGGAATAAATCCTAATGTAAAGCAAAGTAATTTTTTTAATAAAAGGCTGCCTCCACTGTTTCTTGGTGGTGGAAAAAACTTGTCATGTCAAGGTCAAGTCAAATAAAACATCATGAAAAATTAAATCTGGACTTACTACTAAACTCTGTGACATTTGCTAGTAGTGGGCACTTAGAGGCTGATGATGGTGTGTCCTACATTCCACTTCGCAAGTCGCCAAACTAACATTATTATCAGTTCATCCATCATATTTGTAGAATCGAACGCACGTGTTGGCTGCATTTACCGCAACATAATAACCGACAAAACCATGAATGCAGAAAGCAAAACAATGGATTGACATAAAGTTCCGCAAACAATAACTGGCCATTCAATAAAGCTGAGCACAATGGCAGTAAACACTGAGGAACATCACAAGCTCTGCAGCCGAGCAGTAACAGCAGACACCGGGCAGCTAGTGCGGAGTGACGGCTCGGGGCGAGCTAATGTTACACGGACGTTGCGGTGAACACGTACCATGCAAACATCGCGAGCTCGAACTATTGCCGATTGGTGCGTTTCGGTGTAGGAACTTTGTAAAGGAATAGTTTAAAGATTTTTTTTTATATGTATTCAAGACATTAACTCGAACTAACCAGAGCTCGATGGTTTCCACATACGCGTATATTCATTCATTCATCATTCATAACAATGCAGCAGTTTTTATGCTATGCAAATTGCAGACGGAATGAAGCTCAGATTAATTACTGCACAAACAGCAATCCGACGTTTTTGATTAGTATTCAAAATATAGACAGTCACAGGACAAAGGGAGAGCATACAATAGCTGCTAAACAAAACGTTGGCTGGACACAAAGGGAGCAGTAATTAAACGATCAGGTAGACAGTGCAGCGGGAGCAGGCAGGACCACCCGCCCCTTCATTGTGGCGCTTTTTGTACAGCCGACAACAACATTGCAATATTACAGCGCTCCACACATTTGTGTAAAGATAAACTTACTTTTTCAAAAACAGTCAGTGGTCGCTATAGCAGAAGATACATTCCATTGCTGCAAAGGTACAGTATGAGACAAAACCGAGGAATTTCTCCATATAGCTATACAAAAGCATACAGTTGCATACCAAAGGAAAGCTCCCACGATTTGTTACGAACAATAAACTGGAACTATTCACAGGTCAATCACAGCTCACTACACGCCGGGCAACACCACAGACCCGGCTCACACAATCAATCACCACGAGACGTCACTGAATGACACGCGCGTCACTGACACCACTCGAAGCACTCGGGCCGTGGGGACGTGCGTGCCCCACCACAGCTTGAACGCGACTGGCCCGCTTTGCAAGAGATGCTAACAAACCCGTTCCGAGCTCCACTCGAGCCTCCACGGTAAGTGGCGCAGGCACAATGGGAAACGCGAGCGCCCGCGCACCTGTGTCGTGTTCACCTTTTTCTTTTTAATTTTATAAGGCGTCGAACTTTTCTGCAAGCGGCCGAACGGTTGATGACCCTAAACAGAGAAGTCCCTAATGATAATTTAATAGGACCTCAACCGCCATCGATTGAACAATCCACATTCAATGTTAATAGTTACTCATTTGGCAAGCAATCAGCGGCGAGCTTATTTGAGCCAAAGTAACCTAGCATAATGGTCGATAATAATTCATCAGGAGCTTTTTTCTGTCCGTCGCCAGTAAGCAGAGAGACGTATGAATGGGTGGACAGCCTGATGAGGCTGACGATAGCGGAGGCTTGTGCAACCGCAGTGTTTACTATTTGGGAGGCAGTCGGGAGGAATGCGGCTCCTTGCGCCGCGCGCTGTCCCCGAGTGCCGGAGTGCGGCGTGCAAGGTCGCGCGCCGAGGTATGCAGCGCCAACGCACAGGGGACTGCAAAAGGTTCATCACTTACTCGAAAAACTAATTCCTTATCTCCGGTCCAAACAGAAAACACGCCTGTGGCTACTGCTCCAAATCAACGCGACGATAGTCTGGCAGTAAAAGATAACAGTAAACTGGAAACAATGTGTCAGGAGGAGGATCGATTGCTCTCAGAATAAACATGTCGACGACGTTAATCCGATTACAGAAATAAAGACAAGTAAATTATAAGGCGACAAGATTGTCGGAGCGACGCGCAACAAGACAAGCAAAGTATTAATGGCCCATTCACGTGTTTATTAGTCTCGTGAGCTTATTTTCGACGTTTTAAGCTTTTGGTGATAAATTAGTGACAAAATCACACAACGACTGCAACCCAAATATCCAGTCGACAGGAGATTGCGTGTCGAGCTCCTGGAGATTTATTATTGAACTTTTTATAAACACATTGAGACACAAAGAAAGTGTGTTCCTAACATAAAACTGTCGCTGTTTTTGCAGATTGCTCTGTAAATCAATCAGCTTGATACGCTAATTTCAATTTTTATTCGACCATTTGTGACAGGATCCTACGCAGTTATCTCGAGGACAAACTGATGCAACATATTAGGATATGACACTCTTGTCACTATTCTTCATAATATTAGCACATACATACTATCACCAGATGATCATTACCATCATCTACACATACATTCACAAGAAGGACGCTATTGGACGTGTTGGTAGTCTTTCTTCAGTGATTTCCTAATACTAATAATAAGTTTCTGATGCTGCATAACAAAGATGACGATGACTTGACGAAAGTAATGACGAGCGTGACGAATGCTGTCGTCAGTCACTGATCATTAACTGCATCGGGCATTGATCAAACTATCATTAGCAATTAGTTCCTCCAATTATTTCTGGACAAACCGTTACAGCGGTGGTTTTGTCACAGCACTTTTTTTGTGTTGAAAGGCTATATCGACGGTTTTATGGAAATATGAAAAATGAAATATTTAATTTAAGATTTTAGATGTAAAAGTACTAGGACGTTGGACGTAAATCTATACTAATATTATAAAGAGGTAAAATTTGTAAGTTTGTATGTAGGGGGTAACCTTTAAAACCGCTGGTCGGATTTCCAAAATTCATTCACTGATAGATAGCTACAATGTTCCTGAGTGCTATAGGCTATAAAACGTCACGCTACAATCAAATGGAGCTAAGCAGCGGGTGAAACCGCGCGACGGTAGCTAGTAAACGAATAAAAACAGATGTTCAGTAGTGGTTTGTTATAGATCAACTATGAACAGAAACTACATAGATGAAGTTCAATAAATAGTGCTATCATTATTTGTTAGAGGAAAACTTGCTCTAGTTTGTAGCGAGTGAGAGCTGCTGCAGTGGGGCACGCGTGCACCACTCCATTTGAAGCTTGAGTGGCTCATCACGCTGCACGTGATCACACGAGATGGAAAGACCTACAAAAGTATATTTATCTGTTACTTTTATCAAGATTGGTTCGAGAAAATGATTGGAATTAGATCATGAGATCGATCGAAACTGCCAATTCATGTAATTTAGCTATTTTACTAGTACTACTTTATAAATTTCCTACATTTACATAGGACCTGTCACACTTAACTCCTCGTAAAGTTGAGACGAGATGAAGTAACAACAACCAGCATCCTCCCTGAGCTAGGCTTAGCGCGAGTTTTGTGAACGTTTTAAGTGTACATTTCTTAAACCGCAGCTGAGCCCGAGACTCCGACGAAGTTCTCAAGTACTTCCACTAAGCGGCATCGGCTGCAGCTCCACAGACAGCCTAAACAACAAATATAGCACTCCTCCCACTCCCCGCACTCCTTGCGTCTCTAGTGTTACGATACGTTGTAACTTCACTCCAGAACAAAAAGTTCGCGTCAAAAAGCAACGAATAGATCCGCATAAATCATCATGTTCAACTTGAGGAGTGTTAAAGTAGTAATAAATAGAATTCGTAACTTTTCTATACAAACATACGTGTCGTGGTGGCCCGGAGGTTAAGGAGCCCACTTCTCATGCATGAGGGTGTGGGTTCGAGACCTGGCAAGTACCAATGTGACTTTCTCCGAGTTATATGTACTTTCTATGATTATTTAGACACCACTGACATACGGTGAAGGTAAACATCGGGAGGAAACCTGGACTTATAATTCCTAATTATAAGTTTGAAATCGCCAACCCGCATTGAGCAAGCGTGGTGATTAATGCTCTAACCTTCTCCGTATGAGAAGAGGCCTTTGCTCAGCAGTGGGCACTTATAGGCTGACGATGATGATGATGATGATACGTTGTCCGTTGAATTCAAACTATTTCTTACAATTGTAATAAAATACTCCAGTGTTGTGACAGAACATAAACTTAAGAACGTAAACAAGAAATGTATGTTACCAAATCAGTAATGTATGCGTACTCCACAGTGTGCAGGACATTTAATATTAAAATGCTGAACAAAGAAACTACTCGGCACGTATCTTATCCGGCTCGCATAGTTCATTTGCTTCCACAGCGGTTTGTGCAGACTTGTGGAAATGTTCGGTTCTATTTATTTTTAGCTGTACGCGATCTTGTTACACACGATATCACTTCAGAACAAAATACACACTGCTACTTAGTTAGGTACTGTCGACTTGCCTGCATATCCTGGCTCTCGGAGCGCTTTCGATCATTTTCTCCATACGAGTGATACTTAACTTATCTATGTACTCCATCTAGTATGTCAGTCAAGATGTTGAAGAGATCAGGGGCTGCGCGTCGCCTCACAGATTGAAGTCTGTGTTACAGGAACAGCTAAAGTGCAATTTCCTTCCGATGTACATATACGCGGCTTCGAGACGATAACGCCGCCTCAGAGGCACTGTCTAGGGAATTTTATCACTTTCAATATCGTAAAAAATTTAATACATATTTTATTTGGGAGTGAGGTTGAAGTTTGACAATGGGTTCATACGAGGTGTGACGTATTCTGTTGAAGTACCTTACATAACATATATTGTTGTTATTAAACACAGAGAAGCAATTATTATCCCGTTGTTAAGATCCGAATAAACTTAGTAGTGAGGAGCTCTGCTGCTACAATACAGCCTGATATATATGTGAGCGTCATACATGTGTACCGAGACAATGGCATCGCATTTAACATTGCTAATACTGCAGCTTACACCCGGCACTATGATGGAGCATGCACATTAATGTGGACGCACGTCTGCATCTGTCTAGCTGCAGTCGCTCGCGCCTCGACTCTACTTCATGTGAACACTAAAGGAATGCTAAACGCAGCTTAAACTGTGCTAAGTACGAACATGACACTCAGACTAATGCGTTTTAAAGAGTGCTACAGAATTCATTAACCTATCCTTGTATTATAAGAAAATTCAGTTCTGTTGGTCATTGGCACAAGTGAGTATTCAAAATGCTAAGTAACCCATTTCCAAAAGTACCGCGTGTAATTCCTAGGAGTGTGGTAGCGATGCGGCGGTGCGTGCTATCACTTATTCATATCCTTCGATATACATATTATGATTCCGCTGAGGAGACTTTTGTCGAAGCTGAGCACAGTTTTATCCGCCGCGACCCCGAACTTGGCGCGTACACACACTTGAAAGTCGTACGTCGCATGTCGGTACTTTCTCCGAAACTTTCAAAGTATCGGCTGCCCGCTACCTGGTCGATCATTGTGGAGCAGCCTGCAATTATCCGATGCACGTAACCTAGTAACAATATAATTTATAGTACATCTATCTTACAAACAATAGATATGCTGTGTATGAAAACATATTTTCATTCACTTTAATACCAGTTGACTTAAGTTGACATTACTTTTTATGCTAAAGCAAAGCACGCATAAGGAGGAGTTGTAGTTTAAATTCAGCGCAAGTCAAAAAGTAAACCTCGCTGACACGAAAGCATAATTGAAAATTCCCGAGCGGTGGCAGGAGCTCATGTTATTGTTGCGACATTATCAGCCCCCGGAGCTGTGAGCCCGGCCTTGTAGTGCAGATTCAAATAACAACAACAGCACGATAGACCCCGCGGAAGCTTTACATGAGATGTATATTGAGAGCACGTGGCGAGGCATGGCGAGTGTCGGGTGTACCAAAGCCGCCGTAAAGTTCCCCCGCGGTGTCGGTGACCCAACTTTACATTGTACGCCATGAAATGTTATACTTCTCGTGAAGACGGGATGTCGTACCTACACTGCTAGAACTAAAGGTAGGTTTTGGAAATCTTACTGTTGTTACTGAAACCATATTATTGAGAAATTCAATGTTAATGCCCTCTTCGTCTGCTCGAAGACGTTCCATAAGCTTAATACTATTTTACTGAATCATGGTTTTACGTCTCTGCCAATCTCTGCCAGTCAACCGTTAAGAATTTCACAGATTCAACGTATTTTGGGAAAACAGAAAA